GTTGTCAGTGTTCCGGTGTTGAACTAAGGTGAATTAATACAAGGTGGTATCGGTTGGGCAAAAACAAGCCAAGTTCAAAACCCAAAAATACAACAAAGACATAATTTTCACATTTAGAAGGACCGCGGCTAATTTTAGCAACAACACCTTGTAAAAATTCGCCTTGTGCTGCACATTTTACAAGTGACACTTCGCTTTTGTGTGTTCTTTGCTGGTTCTTTGCGCCGCCCGGTGTTGTTAGTGTTCCGGTGTTGCTGGCGCCATTGCGTCACAGAGTTGTGAAAATCGGTATCGGCGCCAGTAACTCAGCTCTCGGTATCAGCGCAATGGCGCGGCGCCACACTGTGTTACCCACGGCTATATTACACCCGGAAAATACCTCTGTTCTCGTCTTTGCTGTAGCTCCGTAAAACCGTGGAGCGCTAACCAGTATAAGTTAAAAAAGAAGCTTAACAGAAGTAATGTTCATAGTTAGGAGAACGGACAATCTCACAAAGGCAGGTGAATTGGCTGTGCTATTCACACAGTGATCCTCATCCAACTAACCTAGCTTTCTCATTCCCTTCTCCCCCTATAGCTGGTAACTGTTGCCCATACTTCACTACATCTACAAAAGTGCCGCTACTTAGGAACGCAAATACAACCCAGAGGATTTGCTGCCGCCATGTCTGAAGCGCTTGACAAACTGGAGCAGCAGGAGGCGGAGAAGAAGGTTGAACGTGCGGCAGTGGCTGAACAATTGAAAGACACTAAACGTCAAAAACGAGAACTGAAGCGGAGAAAGTGGGTCGACTGGAAGACACAAGATGAACAGGCGGGTGATACAAAGCGCCCAGCATTTGATCCAGCAGATCGTGTGAAGCGAAAAAAATGCGCAATATTGTTAAGCTACTGTGGTGCCAATTACTTTGGCATGCAGCGCAATCCGGGCATGCAAACCATTGAGGAGGAGTTGTTCAAAGCTATGTTAAAACATAAGTGGATTACAGAGGAAAGTTTTGAGGCAGCACAAGCGGCATGCTTTCAGCGTGCCGCACGAACCGATAAAGGGGTGTCTGCGGCGAGACAAGTGTGCTCGATAAAATTGCGTAAGTTTGGAAGGTTTGAGAACATTTGAATATCGATTTGCATTTGCTTATATGTATGTACATGCACATTTCACCATTTAGCCGATACGTTGGACATCAAAGCTTTAAATGAAGATTTGCCGGAGCAAATACGTTTGTTTGCAGTAGAACGCGTTACTAAAGGCTTCAATGCGAAGGACCAGTGCAACGCACGTACCTACACATACACACTGCCATCCGTTGCGTTTGCTGATTGTGGGCAAAAACACGATTTTGAGTCATACCGTATTGAGCCTGCTCAGCATCTAAAGATAGGAGAGGTGCTGAAGCTGTACGAAGGCACCAAAAATTTTCACAATTTCACAAGCCGGAAGTAAGTGATTATGCAATTGCTGGTTTAAACGTTGATACATGCTTATTTATTTTATTTTCAGAAACTTTTTGGATCCTTCTGTCAAACGCTTCATTATGTCATTTAGTTGCTCCGAACCATTTCTAACGCCACAAGGCATTGAATTTCTAACGCTCAAAGTTAAGGGACAAAGTTTCATGCTTCATCAAATTCGGAAAATGGTTGGTTTGGCGATAGCAATTGCACGTGGTAATACCACGACAGCTACATTGGATCGCGCGCTAACTGAAGAACGGTTAGATTTGCCGATGGCACCAGGTTTGGGCCTTGTTTTAGACACAGTGCACTACGAACGCTATAATGATCGTTATGGCGGCGATGGCATTCATGAACCACTGACTTGGACTAAACAAGAGAATGAAATTAAAGAATTTATAGAACGTTATATTAACGCCAATATATACGAGACAGAATATAAGGAGCGGTCAATGTTGGAATGGCTAGAGACATTACCGCTGCACTCGTACGATGCGCGACGTGATGATACCACAAACAACGATGATAGTGGGAAAAAGCAAAAGGACGATGACGATGAATAATAATTACAATTTCTCAGAAAACTAAAATTTCCGCTAAATACATATGTATTTATGTATTGTAAAGACTACATATATTTGGTACTAAAAAATAGAATAGTAATGGAAAGTGTTGACATTGAATAAATACCACAAATTTGAAGAGCTTTTATATAATTTATTTCCAGCTTATTCTCGATGCAAATGCATTTTGCTTTATATATCCTCTACTGTTGTAATATTCAAGCACAATAACTTAGAAAATATTAAAAGCATGCTTTAAAAAATTCCCCGAATAGCTTAAACTATGCCAGCGTGGCATAGGGTTTAGAAACGTCCACCCTTCTTCTTTTTATGACCACCCTTGCGATGCTGCTGACGTGGTCCTGGTGTCGGTTCTTGGTAGACAGGGGTGGCGGGAGAATTTTTGCTAAGATTGGCACGATTCGACATATCACTGAAAAATAAATAACCTTGTGCATTCACGAAAAATCAAAAAAGCCTTAAGCCAACTTACTATTGATCAGCAGCGCCACTAGCCATACCCTGTGAACCCTTAATAATATCCTTTGCACGACGATCACGCTTCTTACGGAAACCAGTACGTTCATATTTGGGCAACCAGCGCTCTGGATCTGGTGGCACCTCGGCGTTGTAGTTTTTGGGCAGTTTACCTTTGCGTTTCCGGTTGCGGCTCTTCTTTTTCTCGACAACTGGCGTGCCAGGGGATTGGTCGATTTTAGCATTCGCTGTCTTCTTTGCTGCTTTTGTAGACATCACCCAATTGGCCGCCTCTAACGCATCGATTTCGGAGGCAGTAGTAAGTGTTTCAAGTTTCGGTAGACGTTTACTTAATTCCAAGGCACGTTTTGGATTGAATTGTGCATATGCAATAACCAACTGTGCCAATACTTTCATATCATTGGCATTTAACTTGAGTAGCTCTTCAAGTGAACTGGCTGCTGTTTGAGATGCACCGCCACGTAAGTGGAATTCTGCAGCTTGGCGCCACATATCGCTCAAATCGCCACTGCTTACCTATATGTAATTGCAAACAAACGATTATAAATAAAATTGTGGAAAATTTTAAGGTGGTGCTTACATTGTTCATTTTATACCATTCGACAGCCGACTTCAGCAGCTCAGATGCGGCGCGTTTATTATCTGTGCCCAAGTAGAGTGTTACTAACGCAGATATAATACCGGGTTTGTACATTTGCTCGCCAAGTGAAAGCAGAATATCAATCGCCTCTTTGCGGCTGCCTTGAGACAGGAAAAGTTGCACAATGGCAAATTTTGATGCAAAGGCATTTTCTTTATGTGCAGCCGCGTACTTATTCAACAAATCCACTGCTTCTTTCTGTCGCTTATCCTTGGTGAGTTGAGAGCAACGTATAAGTAGAGTTTGGAATTCCAAATCAGGATAAGTTTCCACTAACTTCTGGCATAATTGCTGTACTTGGTCACTGGAGTTTGTAAAAAATGCAAGCAAACAATTGTTCAATGCAATTGCTTTCTTCTGACGACTAGTCAACTTCGATTCGCATACTTCTGACATAGCCGAGCGTATTTTCTTTTTAGAGTCAAACACGTTCTGATCCTTATTGATGACCACCGAATTATTGCTGGCCACAGCAACTAAAACTGGATCTTTGGGCTTAAAGCGCAAACATTCCGCATATATGGCTGCCGCTTCCTTTAATTTCCCCTGCATTTGCAAGCAATAACCCAACTGCACACGTATCGGTTCTAATTCTTCGCGCATTTCCTCCTCCGTCACGCCATCCTCTTCCAAAGTTTCACGACAAAGTTTTTCGCTGGCACGCAATTTTTTCTCAGCCTCGGCATATCGCTGGCGATTCGAAGCTATGCAAGCGGCGTTATAGTACTGCTCATATGTTTCTTCCGGCAGCTCAGGTATTTCCTTATTCTAGAAATAACAAAAACACTTTACATTTCAGTGGACCAGGAAAAATTCGTTCGAACCGTTTTCTATACCTTATCTACTGCCAAGTTAGCGGCAACAGCACTCAAATTTGTGCGCCTTTCATTTTCATAATCATCATTGGTATTTTTGATTATTTCCCTGTAAGCATCAAAGCACTCCTCATACCTTTCCAACCGATATAGCACTTGTGTGCGCAACTCTTTCAAGCTCACCGGCAATGGATTAACATCAGCATTATCAATAGTTTTCAATGCTTGCTCGGGCTTGTGCAAGCGATACTCGCAGTAGGCCTTTTCCAGCACTAGAGTGGCGGCAAGTTTATTCTTTTCTATGAATTTGTATGCCTCCTCGAACTTTGAAAGTTGTATCAGGCAAACAACTTTGCAATGCAAAGCTGTCTGATCATCCGGCGCAACGCCCAAAACTATGGAAAAAGTAAAAAAAATTAATGGTATCCAGTAGATTGAACTAGTGATTCTACGAGAGGCGTTCCCGGGGGAGGACCAAACACAACTACTACATACCTCTATTCACCGCCTTGACTGCCTTTTCGTATTCGCCATTTTGACCAAATTTATTTACATCCGCATATGCAGCCTTTATGATAGCTTCCTTTTGGTTCGGATCCTTGGACATCTTCACACGATTTTCCTTTTATTTTTGAGGCATTCAGATTCAGGCGAAAAACGAAATCAACACGAGTGCAAAAAATTTGTCTAATCCAAAATTGACAATTATTTGACACCTCAGCAATTTGGAAATTTGACAACAAGTGACACCACAGGGGCACTAATGTGCAAAAAATAACGAAATTTAAAAAGGATCAAATGGGCGTGATTGATTAGGGGATATTTTATATAAAAAGAAGAAATACATAATAAATTACTAAAAGTGTTCTTACACGATATGTATTTCCACCTGTAAATGTGACTGTTTGATTAAAGCTGATGCCAAAGAACGGAAATCTATACCTTCTTTTTTGGCAATATTTTACAAATCGGCGCCTGGGTAAAAGATTGTCGTAAACGTCAAACGTACGTGCGTAACATACGACAATCTTTTACCCAGGCGACGAAATGAAAAAGGATGCTGTCAAATGCCCAGTCAACAAAAATCTATCCGCTTGCGAGAGAAAGAAGCAAACGCAAGCGAGATTTTCAAGCATGTGAAGACGGCCAGTAGCATCAATCAAACAACTGTAGTGCTGCCAGCTTGTGTGGTATTTCATCGCATGATAGTGGCAGCATTAGTGCAAATCGGACGTCTGGTATCACCAGCGATTATTTTACAAATTCTATTTTCCTTGTCTGATCAGAAGCAAAAGTTCGTAAAAAATTGATACGCAGTTGGGGTGAACACCTTTTTTGTGAAAATTAAATGTAATGCATTGAAATAATTATTAATTGTAATTTGCAAAACGAAAAATTAAGAAACAATTAGTGGGAAATTTGAACCAGTAGCAAGAGCTCAGCTGGAAGTGGGTGGGATTGTGCAAAGGGGCCGACAGCGTTGTGCAGAGAAAAAATCGCAATTTTCATAAAGTGATTGTCACTAGCGTTGGCGTTAGCGACTACGGACAAATGCAAAACAAACGTGGAAATAAATAATAAAACAAAAGTTTCGCCAGTGCAACAGAATAAGTTATTCCATAGTAAGCTAAGCAAGTTTGTAAGCGGACATGCCGAACCGAAGACAATGTGGTTACATGGGATTGCTGATTTCACTTCTACTGGGAACATTGACCACAGGTAATATTTGCATGCGTGCATTGATTCCTCAGCATCTTGCTGGCCATTCGCCTCACCTCGTTAGCATCTACGCATTCATTCATAAATATGCTATAGAAAGCTAATGAGTTTTTCGTATTCAGCCATTGTAAATCGATATCCGCCCACTAATTGTTTCATTCCTTTAATAAATGTATGTACATATGTACATAGATGTACTTAGGTATTGTAAGTTTATGCATAAAATGTAATTTTTACTAATCACTATTCACTTTCCCCATTGCAGTGGCAGCTTATTATGTCGAAGTTAAGAGCACCGGTTCATCCGTCATTGGTGGCACAGTGAATTTCAGTGCTGTGTTATACGAAGATGGGCAAGTGGCGAGCAAAGGGGATTACCAGTTTAATTGGGAAGATAATACACCTGCCGCAAATCATGTGGTAAGTAAAGAGAGCATATTTGGTTTATGCAACGGATTTAAGAATACAGATATCCAGACGTGTGTCAAGTTAGCACTACACTTTTCGAAATTGGAAAAGTTAACTACGGCATTAATTGTAGTGTTTTTGTTGTAAATTTGTTGTGGAAAGAAAAAATTTGTAGCTTTCGTTTTTCTGGAAAAAATTGAGTTGACCCTTTTTCGAACAAAATTTAGTATGTAGTGCTAACTTGACCCCATACACCTAGTCGATAGAATTGAGATATCCAATATGTTACTATGCCATTAATTGTAGCTTTTAACTTTAAAATTTGTTGTGGAAAGAAAAAATTTGTAGCTTTCGTTTTTCTGGAAAAAATTGAGTTGACCCTTTTTCGAACAAAATTTAGTATGTAGTGCTAACTTGACCCCATACACCTAGTCGATAGAATTGAGATATCCAATATGTTACTATGCCATTAATTGTAGCTTTTAACTTTAAAATTTGTTGTGGAAAGAAAAAATTTGTAGCTTTCGTTTTTCTGGAAAAAATTGAGTTGACCCTTTTTCGAACAAAATTTAGTATGTAGTGCTAACTTGACCCCATACACCTAGTCGATAGAATTGAGATATCCAATATGTTACTATGCCATTAATTGTAGCTTTTAACTTTAAAATTTGTTGTGGAAAGAAAAAATTTGTAGCTTTCGTTTTTCTGGAAAAAATTGAGTTGACCCTTTTTCGAACAAAATTTAGTATGTAGTGCTAACTTGACCCCATACACCTAGTCGATAGAATTGAGATATCCAATATGTTACTATGCCATTAATTGTAGCTTTTAACTTTAAAATTTGTTGTGGAAAGAAAAAATTTGTAGCTTTCGTTTTTCTGGAAAAAATTGAGTTGACCCTTTTTCGAACAAAATTTAGTATGTAGTGCTAACTTGACCCCATACACCTAGTCGATAGAATTGAGATATCCAATATGTTACTATGCCATTAATTGTAGCTTTTAACTTTAAAATTTGTTGTGGAAAGAAAAAATTTGTAGCTTTCGTTTTTCTGGAAAAAATTGAGTTGACCCTTTTTCGAACAAAATTTAGTATGTAGTGCTAACTTGACCCCATACACCTAGTCGATAGAATTGAGATATCCAATATGTTACTATGCCATTAATTGTAGCTTTTAACTTTAAAATTTGTTGTGGAAAGAAAAAATTTGTAGCTTTCGTTTTTCTGGAAAAAATTGAGTTGACCCTTTTTCGAACAAAATTTAGTATGTAGTGCTAACTTGACCCCATACACCTAGTCGATAGAATTGAGATATCCAATATGTTACTATGCCATTAATTGTAGCTTTTAACTTTAAAATTTGTTGTGGAAAGAAAAAATTTGTAGCTTTCGTTTTTCTGGAAAAAATTGAGTTGACCCTTTTTCGAACAAAATTTAGTATGTAGTGCTAACTTGACCCCATACACCTAGTCGATAGAATTGAGATATCCAATATGTTACTATGCCATTAATTGTAGCTTTTAACTTTAAAATTTGTTGTGGAAAGAAAAAATTTGTAGCTTTCGTTTTTCTGGAAAAAATTGAGTTGACCCTTTTTCGAACAAAATTTAGTATGTAGTGCTAACTTGACCCCATACACCTAGTCGATAGAATTGAGATATCCAATATGTTACTATGCCATTAATTGTAGCTTTTAACTTTAAAATTTGTTGTGGAAAGAAAAAATTTGTAGCTTTCGTTTTTCTGGAAAAAATTGAGTTGACCCTTTTTCGAACAAAATTTAGTATGTAGTGCTAACTTGACACACGTGATATCCAGACCCATCTTATAGGAAATGTGTAGAAACGATCATTATGCAATCATTCCTCCGACTTATTAGATTGAGATCAACGCTCCGAAATTTGCCAGCGAAAGTCTTAGCTACAGAAGAATAACACTGAGATTATAAATCTTTGGCGTAATTAGCTTATGTACATATGTATGTATTTATGTACCTACTTTGATTATTTCTTTGGCATGACTAATAACGAACTTTATTTGCTTGGTTGTTATTTTTATCACTTTTAGATTGTTTGTTAAATTGTTTTGAATGAATGCATATAACTTCATAGAAATGTGACGTATGTGCATACATACATATGTATGTATTACATTAGGGCGGTCCAAAAATTTATGTGAAAAAGTAGATAAAGTCGGAACATGCTTTCACCGACGAAAGTTCTGTAGATACCAAAAAAATATACCCATATTTTTTTATTTGGAAATCAAAAAATATTTAGAGGTCGCTCAAAGTGCTTAAAGCAAGCCAAGGCTCGGATGTAGAATCTGGAAACATTAAAAAATGTGAAACTAAAGCTCAATTGAAGGCCTATCTTATAACCTATCAAATAAAGTTCAATAGGGCGGCTCTTGTAATTGCAACACTTTTTAATGCACTATTCTTAAACTTGGTTTCAGTCCGTGCAAAAATGAGCTGTGAGAAATTTGAATAGACTTTCAAAGTCCAAATTTGCTTGCCAACTGCTTTTTTGAATAAAAAAGTAAAGTCTCATAATCTGTACATGCACATTTTTATTGAATTCATTCCAAACAAAGTTAAAAATATATGTTGGGGACTGCTTATCCACAAGTACCTTGAGAATCTACAATTATATTAAAATATACTAATTTCAAAGAACACTTTTATACTCTGACAAGTAAACTTTAAGCAAACAACAAAACCGACTGGGACCACCTGTGAGGTAACACATTTCCTTTAAAAAAAAACAATTAAAGAAATCGATTATCGTGGTCCATACATAAAGAAAAAAAATATTCCAACGAATTTATAACCTTTCTCCTTTCTGTGAAGTCGGTTAAAAAGGAAAAATTTCATATACAAATCATTTTTAAATCTGCTATACATTTTTCTTTCACCTAATACACACTTCTTATTCACGTTTAATAATAAAAAGAACTAATCTTTATAGTTCTGTACATAATACAAAAATATTAAATAGTTGTATCGTGGTTTTATAGAAATTTTTTCAAATAGTAAAGATCTCGGGGTATCCTTGTTCTTTTCTAATCGAGTAAAAATTTTGTGTCTTCTAATTTGTACAAGCTGAGAAGCAGCACAGAAAAAAATTAAGTCGGAGAAAATAAGAGTTACCGTAATGCATTAATAGGTATGTATATCACATTCAAGACCCGTAGAAAACTAGTTATAGTCGTGCTTTGAATGTAAAATAGAGAATTTAGACGAATTCCTAAAGAATTCATATGTATTGTAAGTACCTATGTTTGTATGTACCTGCACTTGTAGATTCTACATGCCTATCATTGATGAAACCCTAACTTACAGTTTTTTTTTTCAAAATACGGTTTTTTGCTTTTTTAAGTAGCTTATACTAAAAAATATACTAAAATAAATTTTATAGTCGCAACTTAAAGCTCGATGATTGTATGGCCCTACGCACAGAATTTTTGGTGTTGGAGGTTTGGCTTATTGCTTCTCCTGTAAAATATTAAAGGTCAGTTGGGGCCTTTCTACATTTCACCAACGATAAGTACATACTGTACATATGTAGGTGCGCGCAATTTACTTTAGAAAAGTTTTGACTTTATAAATATCAATTTATTTAAAATAAGAATTAATTCGAGACATTTATCTAAATAATTCCCATTTGCTGCAAATGAGAATTCAATTTGCAACAAAAAGAAAATCAAAAATTTCTAGTTAAATAAAACAATTTATTAAATTTTAATGGGTTTTATTATTGCGCATTTTATGTGAAATTCTTATTAAATTTTAATGTTAATACAGCTGGGAAGCCGTTGATATTTTGTCTTTTATTGCATTACAAAGTTCAGCGGCCCGCCAAAGTGTATACAGCTTAAAGCAAATATAAGAATACAAAGATAAATATTGCAAATTTAATGTACTTTATGTATGTATATGTACTATACATATGCACATACGTATGTAGAATATATAACTTGAGGTATGGACTCGGGCATACATATAGGTCTATTGTACTCTATGTTCGTCACAACCATTCTTCTAAACCTAGCTCCTTCAGAAAGTTCAGTAGTGGTTTTGGTGGTAAGGATTGTATGTGCTCATACACACATTGAGCCTATACTTCTGAAGCGTCTGCCAGAGACGGCGTTAAGTTTAAATTGATAATAAGATGGTAAAAAAGGAACTTAAACTTACCTGGCATTTTGCAATTTAACCCTAGAGTGTTCACGCCATGAGGATTTTGCCGCCCGGGGCAAAAAACTGCATGCCATTTTTCAAGCAACACATTTGTAAAGATCAAGCGTTGTTATATATATTTTTTTGGCGTAGTTTAGCCGAATGAATATCTGCTCTCTTCACAAAATTGGAAAATATATCCACACCATGGAATGGCAATTTAAAGACGAGATATTCAACAAAAGTAAGATCAGCTGCTCTACTTCTACTACCTGTTCAAAATGCTATGCTCCATTAAGAATATCCAACGTGAAATGCGTTGAAAAAACCTTTTAAAAGCTAATACTAGGGCAATTTCTTCGATTCATATCTACTCACAAATACGCAGACTTATAACTTCAGAAACCAACTACATATATATGTGCTCCTCGATTCGAGTCACAAGCATCCAGATTTAAAATTAAAAACTACTAGTTCATAGAAATGTTATTTTTATCAGCTGCTAGGGCGCCAAAATACCGAATACGAGACAAATACGAGACATTAAAAGAAATACAGGACTTTTGGCGTCCCGTATGAAATAAATAAATTACCAGGACAATTGATGAAAAAAAGGACTGTCCCCTATAATACAGGACGGATGGTCACCGTAATTATATATATTATAAATTACATATTAACTCAACATGAACTTGATTTTGAAAGTGTTTACAATGCATTAGCTCAAATTAAAATATATGTACATACATATGTATGTATGTAGTTTCATGTTAATACAAGTTTGTTAACATTTAAAGGTACTTAATTGCAATGAACATACTTAAGATTTAATTCAAATATTAATTTTTGTCTAGCGTAGATGCTGCTTCACTGGTCAGCTTATTATTGTAGCGTCTCCTATACACCCTATTCTTCATCTTTCGGAAACCTTTCCGCATTGATGCTTCGTAATCCGAATAATCGTAATCTTCTCGTTTCACCGCATCTTTATAAAAAATATAAGCACATACCAAATTGTGAAACGCAATTCAAATGTATGTGTATAAAACACATGGTATACGAGTGATGCAAAATCAAAAAACTACATATCGCTCACCGTCTTCAAAAGGGGCACAAATCAAAATTACACGTTCCTCAGAAAATGCGAAAAACAATTTCTTAGCACATGATAATCATAGGGGCAAGGGAGACTTTACCTTAGGTTTGTTTTTTTCTTTAAATTATAACAAAAATTTGCACTAGCTTTTGCTGAAAGGTAAATAAAAGCTCGGTGTACATTTTTAGCGCATAATTTTAAAAATGCCAAATTTTGAGTTGTGCCTCTTTTGAAGACGGTGTGCGATATTAAAAACATAAACGGGACATGGCGTATGAGTGATAAAAATAAATAAATAAACACGTTATGACTTAATAATGAAGGTTAACTTACCAAAAGCATATTTTGAAAAGATTTTATATTTTCGCAATGCTAACTTTTTCTGGTTGCCATCCCAGTTTAAGGATAACAGAAATTCTTCCGTAAACAATTTATTAAGCGACTTCGAAATATCATTGGGCCCGATGGTTTCTCTTATATATTCCATCTGTGAAAGACAAATAATTTTTAAAAATGTAAGCAACTACATATATATATGTATGTATAAGAAAAAATACGTCAAGAATATGTATACTGTAAAACATACAACTTCATTTATTGCCATAGATTCAACATTTTTCTCCACATCGTCCATTTCTTCTTTTGATTTAAATGGAAAAAAGTTGAAATTTAAAGTCTTCGGGAAAACATGGTTGGAAAGTCTTTCCAAATAGACCATATGCTTGGCAAGCATAGACGATACGTTTTTCAGTTCTTTTTGCAAATAGTTGTTTTGCTCTTCTGGATTGAGAAATTGTTATTAAAAGTTGAATAGTAAGGAGTGTTAAGCGTAGTATATACCAATTTTTTTCAGTTTAGCGTTTAAGATGGTTATTGCATCATTGCCTTCTGGATCGAATTTTACATTAGGAGGGAACATTTTAGAACACCTATATAATAGTATATAAATATAATTTGTATTACATAGTCTTCTAAGGCCTTATAAATAAAAAGGAAAGTGAGAGGGTGATTAATTACATACATACATACCTCCTGAAATGCAAAAAGACGTAACAAGCATCGTCACTGAAATGCAAAAAGTCATAACTTATAAAAAATTCAAAATTCACTTTTTGATTGATATGATGGATTTCATCGAATTACAACTCCTTACATCGTTTTAGGAAAAAAATATATATATTAGTCACGACTTTTTCCATTTCACTGACCTATATATATACAGTTGTCCACAAAATAATAGGAGTGCGATATTTTGACCAGTTTTGGCTATTTGTCTTTTGTTTATTTAATGTTTATTATTTTTTTATAAAAGCCTAGCTGGCTATACAACAAACACCATATAAATTCAGATTTTAAACTTTGTATAAAAATTATAAAAATTTTGCAATTTTTCACCCAAATTTCAAACTTTTTAATCAGAATCTTTAGAAAAAATTCTGGTATGCAGTTTTGTAGCACATTCAATTCTAGTCTGAAGAAGTGCAAGTTTCAAGCGGCTAAAAAATTCCGTTGATTTTTGGCAATTTTTTTGCTGGCAGTGTCCTCCATATAAAAGAAAATTGTCGACATACTTTGTATGGAAAAAACGTGAAACACCTTTAACCAAAAAAATTCTCAAAAATCAACGGAATTTTTTAGCCGCTTGAAACTTGCACTTCTTCAGACTAGAATTGAATGTGCTACAAAACTGCATACCAGAATTTTTTCTAAAGATTCTGATTAAAAAGTTTGAAATTTGGGTGAAAAATTGCAAAATTTTTATAATTTTTATACAAAGTTTAAAATCTGAATTTATATGGTGTTTGTTGTATAGCCAGCTAGGCTTTTATAAAAAAATAATAAACATTAAATAAACAAAAGACAAATAGCCAAAACTGGTCAAATTATCGCACTCCTATTATTTTGTGGACAACTGTATATATACCTAAACGCCTTTTGTTTTCGTTTTTCTGTCCTTTTGTCATACAACCCAAAGTCATACAAATACTACACCTATTCGTGCTGTTTGGGTGCATTTGAAACACCCTCTACTACTGGTGTAACACATGGTTCCTGTCACAAACGCACGAACAGAAACAAATGTTTAACATCACTCACTAATGCTGCCAAAAAGAAATTTACGTCGTCCGGCTGTGTTTGCTTTTCTTTTGATGCTTTTGATGAGAAATGCACCCCATTACTGGCTATAATTGCGTGGTTATTTTCTAAACCGCTTATAATTTCTTCATCTTTCCAAATCTTTGTGCACACCGTAGTGCAGATATTTACTCGGAGGTACTGCAACGATTTGCCTATCACACTTACGTATTTAAGTTAAACAAACTATTAAAAGATTCGGTAGATGTACAATACTCAGTGCAAGTAAAATACTCAAACTAAAATATTTTATGTAACTACTGAAAATGGTATTCCTTTCTGAGCATTGTAAGAAATTTAAACATTTATTTTTTACTTTGCTTTTGTACTGCTTCCTACTTGCTCCTTAGGGGAGCAGCTTACTTTCAATTCCGTTGGGAATGTATGTTCTACGCATGCGCATGTTTTGAATGTATTGGTATCTGTGAATGCCCTGCCGAAAATTTGATTAGCTCAGGACTAGCGTAGAACTAGACCTTTTGCCGACAGTACCAGTTCAAGCTCAATACCCAAGCAATGCTTTCAACTGTCGAGTTTTACACGGCGATGTCATTGGCGGTGGCAATTGTCGCCCAGTGCATTACTTTGCAACCAGTTTTTAACCGGTTCCGTTTTGGACAGTTTTTTTGTATAAGAAAACGTTTTTAAGATTCGTTTTATTGGATATTTTTTTAGTTTTTTTCTTTTCCGTTACAGATTCCATTTTTGTTACATATTTTATTAAAGAAAAAATTATTGTAAGCTGCACGCAACAGTTTAAATTCAATTTGAAAACTCACAACTGCCTCCACCGCGATTAGAACTCGCGACCAACGATGCTTGGGTCCGGAGGTCTTCTCGCTGAGTTACTTTCGAATTGTACAAGTAGTGAGCATTTGCACATTTAGGTACACCGCAAGTGTCAACTGTCCCACTCTGCATCCGTTTTGCACTAGTTCTGATATATGTAGTTTGTCAGACTGTCTCTAAATTTTACTGCAGGTTGCATATATGACACTACATTCCAGTGTTGCCTCTTTGTGAGTAATTCCTCAAAACGTGAGGAATTTCGGGTGCGTTTGAGGATTTTTTGAGGAGTTTTATTTTGAGGAATTTTCTCTCGATATATTTGCAGATAACAAATGCAACCATGTTTTACACAGCAGAGTTGTTGAATCGCACTGCAATTTTTTAAACAAAATGCTTTCCGAAGTTTCATAACGAGCGAAATACACTACACAAGCGGCTTGTCAAACATTCTTCAAACCTACTTTTCCCATTTCGCCATACACCATGCAAACATGACTCGTTCAAGCAAAGAATTTTAGTTTTCTTCCTGTTCACAATGTAAAAGGGATTGGCTTTCTTCGATTTTTCTCTCTTGAGGCCTCATTCGGTAAAAATTCGGTTTCGAATGAGGCGATTTTATCATACGCAACGTAAGCGGTTTGATCAAAAGTCAACATGGCGGCCATAAAATAAAAAAATTTAGATTTTTGTTCACATTTCCCTCAAACGGCTTGTCAAACCTTCAAACCCCTCCATACGCAACATAAATAGCTTTAAGCAAAGGGATATTTCGCTTGGTTTGTCAAGCCGTTTGTGTGGTGTGCTACTAAATATTCAAAATGTTATCGATAATTTTTTCCGCAAAAACAAATGTACCAATTGAATAGGAGAATGTAATTAATTTTTATACTAAGTACCTGTAAATAGTATGCAGTACACAATACTCATATCTGTAAAAAAGAAAATTTTGAGTAATTTGTTCGGGTTTTGAGGATTTTTCATTTGTTTTTGAGGAATTTTGTAATTTTTTTGTGGCAACACTGATACATTCGCTCAATTGTCAAATGACTTCAGTAGTTGTTTAAAAAATTTTAAGAACGTAGCGGGATACACGGGTGCATTTTAGTCTATATATTTAAAAAAAATATTCATATATAAAATCTGACTGGTCGTATATTCATATATTTATGACGAAAGAAAGGCCCTTATTATGAGCTGCATTCGATTTTCGATCTTCGCTGGCTATCGAAGATCGAAAGTGAAATTCGTATTATGAGCTATGCAAGCGTGTCGAATTTTTCGTTGAGTATCGAATTTTCTGTCGAACAGAATTTTGCTTTCGATGGTGTAGCGAAGTGTTAGAAAATTGTGAAAAATTTATGATTTTGTATATGTTTTCTTACATTTTGGCGGCTAGACACTAATTTTAAACAATTTTTATTAATTTCATGCAGTTCTAACATCGTGAATACTAAACACGACCGCTGTTAAGAAAAAACCTTTTTTCTATATTTTTGCGATGTTGCTTTGACCAGGGTTTGAACCCAGGCATTGTGGAGTGGAAGCGCGCACTGCTTACCACTACACCACAGCGGCCGAC